AATATATATTAATATTTTTGGAAAAATAAAAAAAAATATAATATATATATATATATATATATATATATATATATAATTTGTGTAGAAAAATTGCATGTAAAATTTTCTGTGGATTTTAAATTCACAAAAAACTAATTTGCAAATTTAAAAATTTGTAGGAAATTTATCTATAGATTTTAAAATTATAAAAAAATAATAATAATAACCTGCGGATTTTCTTGTAGATTTAAAATCCACAGGAAATTTACTTTTGGATTTTCTTGCAAAATTTAAATTTGCTATAAACTGTTAGATTTTCTTGTAAATTTTAAATTCACATAAAACTTTTTGACATCGTAGAAAAATGTGTAGGAAATTTCCTACGAATTTAACATCTGTAGGAACTAGTTACCCTTACAGACGAAGGATTTATCAGGGAAAAAAATCCGTTGTAAAGTTCATAGGAAACTTGTTTCCCTCGAATGCTGATGCAAAATCTACAAAAAATAAAAAAAATAAAAAAAAATCTGCATGTAATCGGAGAATTTCTTGTAGTTATAGAACAAATAATTTCATCATAAATTCTTCATACAATAATTTTTCTTCATAATATCATTTTTCCAAGAGATTTACCACAAAAAATATTAATTATAGCAAATTAAAACTGTAATTTATTCTCCTTCACAAGAAGTACCTTTTGTTCAAACGCATGATATGCTCCTTAGGGTAAAGGATGTGTGAAGCGCAGGCCAATGGGATTTTGCATCGGTTTGTACATGGTTATCGTCTGATGTGAAGACCAGGTTGAGAAACATGAATGTGTGGTTGCACCGAGATTCTTTGGATACTATAGTTTGGACTAGGAATATGTTTGGTGTTTATTGCGCGTTCAGGGTATTAATGGTTACAAGGGTCAAATAACTCTACAAACTCGTGGAAGTGGATTGAGAGACTACTATTAGTTGAGAATATTATGTTTTTTCTATGGCAGCTAAACCTCTTCCGACTAGAGTTTCCTAACCCAACGCCATAAGCCTTTCCTTTATTGCATATATATGACACATATACATATTTATTTCAAAAGAAGTTCCACATTGCTTGAATCACTCAAGATTTGAACCTTTATATATTAAAGTGTTTCTAACACTTTCAAAGAGATAAACAAAGTGATGGAGGACAATCTAAGGAGAGCTTACACATGAAGACCATTGGACATTTAACTAAGTTCATGGTTAGGAGTCTTCTATAGACGAGGTTCTTCTTTAAATACTTGTATAGGTATATTTCTATCTTTGTATTTGTGAGACACC